TTCCTCATGCTCGCACATGGAAAAGCTGTCCATTTCCCTTCATTTTTGGGGGGCATTTTGACCCCTTCATTTTTAAGGTTTCTTCAACTTGTTGATTGGCCATGGCATTTTGAAGACAATCAGTTTGGGTTGGCTCTCAAAGACTAATGTGAATCATGTTAAAACCTTAACAATTTTTACAATGGAATTATGTTAAAATATTAAAAATTTTAGTGATTATAAATGAGACAATTTATAAGTATCTATTTATTAAATTATTCGAGTTAAAAGTTTAAATATTTATATTAAAAAAAAGTACATTTAACATATTATTTAACATATTATTAGACTTTTTGTCTGGGCTTGATGTCCCATGCTAGTACTATAGTTCCTCCTTTGCTTGAATGAGGAGGCATGCTTATCTTGATTCATCTAGTCTAAAGCCATAAAGTAAAGCTTTTCTCATTGATTGGACTAAACAAAACCCTAATTTGGTACATATCAACCAATACTAAATCTTTTATATGCAATGGATTTTGGTCTTTTCTTTCTGCTTGAGAAGGAAAAGATGTTACAAAGCCGCCAAAGTCACTCTCTCACACATTGGATCATGTAAACTAAAGTGGCCTTAGACTCAGCCAAAGGCCTTTTTGCGCTTTAACTCTGTTTTTTTATTTTATCCAAACAGGAAAATGTGAGAGACAACACAAAGTGGGTTTTTTCCCGTTCCACACTTCACGCTTGTTTTGTTTCTTTCTCCCATTAAACGACAACTTCACTTTAATTTGTCCTTGCCCAAGACCAAAACGTAAAAAGCTTGATTCTATAGTCTAGCCTAAAAATATACCAGTAGATTTTTAAAGTTAACCTATTTACTAGTAGTGTTAATTATAGGAGATTTTTGTTTTATAATTTAGATTTTATTAAATTATAAAATAAAAATTATTTAATAAAAGTAACTATTATATTAAGATTTATTTTCATCTAATTATTTAATTTTTCCATTAGAATGGTAAAATATTTTTTAAAATTAAATTTTTTTTAATATCAAATTACTTTTACGAAGTTTGGATGTCTTCTACTGTGGATTAAGTAATAGATCATGTTGTATAAAAAAATGTAATACGCCGCGTTACATAAGTGAGAGAATACAAGTTCAGGTCGGTGATACATGACTTTATAAAAATTTTTAATTCTATCCTTTTAAAATTAGCGTTCATTCTATTGGAATGCCTATACATTAAAAAATCTCATTTATATACAAGGATGTTAAGTTGGCAATATTCTTATTTATTAATATAGAAATACATTATTTTGCGTGACTCTTATTTTTAATTAAAAATATGATTTTTTTAATCTATATTTTTAGCATACAAGTTGAGAATATATTTTTATTATAAATATATATAAAAAAATAAAAATTAATATTAATTTTAGTATTATTGTTAAGTGGATAAATTTAATTAGATAATTGATAAATTAAAAATTAATTTTTATTTTTGTAATATAAATTTATAATAAAAAAATATATTTAATATATCTTTAACTTATATTTTAAAATTACAAATTAAATAAATCTTTAAAAGTATTATTATTTTTTTTGAACATATTTGCAAGGGACGGGTTTCGAACCCAGCCCAAGGAGAGGGGAATGTACCGGGGTGGCTATTGTCACTAGGCCGCAAAGACCAGGTGCCTTTAAAAGTATTATTTAATTGTAAATAACATCTACACATGATGTGTCACTTTATTAGTAAAGATATTTCCATTATAGGAAAAAAATTTCTCCCTTATATCCAACTCAACAGGTGTCAATAACCTGTCAAGTATATTTGTATCCACATTGAATATTTGCTAATATACTACTATAAGTAATTAACCTAATCAGCTAATCTCACGTAGTTTAATAAAACAAAATGTTATTAATGAATACAGGCACATCTTTGATTAATTAATGACTCTTTGATCGTTTACTTTTGTCAGCCAGTTTGGATTGAAAATAGCAACATTTTGTATTTTAATGAAAGAGAGGAAACGGAAGGCAG